TTGCTGGCCATTCTTGGGGCTCACCGCAGCCAATCCAACGATTTGGATAAACAGTTTGTAAATAATTACGAACCGCTACACTGAAATGCGCTAGTGTACCATCATGCATGTACCATATATTGCTTCTTATTACTAACGGAACATCATCAAGCAGCAAAGGCAACTGTTGTTGAAGAAAAGTGAGGTAAGTTTGTCCGTCAAGTTGTCCCGGCAAAAGAATGGGTCAATAAAGTGGTTGGCAATAATTCCTGCCCATAAGTTAACCGAAAATTGGTGTTGGAAATGGGTTTCGGTTACGGCATAGGGATTTTTTTCTGCCCACAAATAATTATTGTGGGTGTAGTTTTTTAAAGAGACTACTGACAAAAGGTCAGATGCTTTGCAAAATCAATGGGAAGTAGTGCCTGTACTCTTAAAATATGGTAAGGATATAACAAAAAATCCACTAAAATTCTCCAAATAATTCGATGACAAATATTTAAGTGTCTAGCGATCTTCATCGTACTCGTTTCAGGATGTTCTTCGACTTCGTGCAGCACTGCTTCCTCAATTTCAGGTGTTCTCACACTTAGAGGTCTACCTTCAGATGTTTCTTTTCGGACAGGACCAGTTTCAACAAGATGACGAATATTGGAAAATGTTCGACAATCTGGCAAAGCACGATCGGGATATCTCTGGTGATAAATCCGTCTGGCTTGCTCACCATTACCGTCGGCAAGGCCATATACGTAATGCATTTCCGCCATTTCTGCATTTGAATAATTCACCATTATTAACACGATTGTAAAAACTATATAATGAAAAAGATGTCACAGCAAACAGATTTGAATTACAGAGACTTGTCAGATGTCAAAAGCCAGTGACATATTCCAGAGCAACAAGATATTTGTTGCTAAATTGCATTCTTCAATTATTACATTAATTTTATCGGACAATAGAACGGTTTTTATTTTTTTCACACAAAAATGGCGCATCAAAGGAAAACAACCCAGGAGACATTATTTGTTTAAAATTGAACGTGAAATTTAAAAATAATTTTTATTCGGCAAAAAAACATTTGCGTACCATTTTTTTCTTTTCAAATATCGAAGTTAATACCCGTACGCACGCCACTGTTAAACCTAAAAATTATTCTTGCATTGAAAAATATGCAGCTTCACTAACTTTCACTACGTACTAAACACCCCTAGTTTTTGTAAGGAAACATTTTTGGCCCATAGTTTATAAAGCAAACTAACATCAACTTCTCATGTAGATTCACACCTTTAAATATTCGCATATCATTACGGAACACCCTGTATAAGACTTTTTGCATAAGATAATCACAGTTGGCCATGGCGGAAATCAAGCGAACTAAACTGTAGCCATCGAAGAAACAAAGTAAAATCAAACATATACACCCGTATTGTACGTGATCAAGAACTTAACCGTAGGGGACGCTACAGGGCCGTATCAAGCTATTGTGACTGATCTATCAAAAAATGTCGTACAAGATATGTGTTGCTGTAAATTCTATCAAAAGCATAGTAAATTATCAGGAATATACCACGCCTTTCTAATCATATTTCGACATTAGGAATCAGTGCAAAAAATTCTGTATTCACCATTTCAGCAAAATATTACTAAAACGCACAGGAAAAAAACTTGTGGACCATCTCAATTGAAATTGTTCATATTTTATTATTAACTTACATATATACCCAATAATATTTACAAATCAACCTTCTATTCACAATGCAGAGCAAATTTTTTTGAGCAAATAGAAACTACAGACGTAGTAGTAGTAGTACAAAAGTTTATTATAGACTCCATAAAGTTTGTTAGTTTGATTGCTATTAAAATTTACATGAGAAATAGGAAGAAGGTCAAAATGGCACTATTATGCTTTGGAACTCCTAAATTAACCCTAATTTTGTGTAATTATAAATTTGGAATTTCCACATTAATAACTAGAAACTTACACTTTGATTGCAGTCTATAAGGAACTTACCTGTCTTGCCAAAAAGCCCGTTAAACTGCCAGTCTTAATGGTATCAATCGATTTATATGCTGTATTCCGAGGAGCTTGAATCATCAGAATTGTTGATGTCAATTATAAGGGGTTCAACTTGGGTGTCAATGATATTGTCCATATCCCACATTTTGGTTTCAACCTTCTCTTGGACATGGTAAATACATGTTCTCCATTTTGCTGGCGTAATTCTATCGACAGCAACATCAAACAGTTTTTAAAGGTCAGAAAACTTAAAAGTGCTGTTATTTGACGCCACGTATTGCTTGATGTCGGCCCAAATCAACTCGATAGGATTCAGTTCGCAGTGATAGGGAGGCAGCCTGAGAATCGTTTTATTTTGGTTTTTGGCCATTTCGTCAACAATTTTTAAATCATATTTATACTTATGTCGCTTGACTATATTTATCAGCTCAGCTTTGACCATTGTTTGGTCGAAGTCGATCTTCTTTGAGACAAGCCACTGTTGAATGTCTGCCTTTTTGGTGGCCATTGTTGGAACTTTTTCCAATTTTCTGGAGTGGTACGGGGCATTATCCATCACAATAATTGCGTTATCATCAAGTGTCGGCAAAATTTTTTTGAACCAATTTTCAAATGAGTTACCATCCATTTCTTCGTGATAGTCTCCAGTTTTTTTGGATTCAAATGCCCACAATGCTTCAGGAACAAATCCATCTACGCTACCTATGTGGCAAATGATCAGGCATTTTCCCTTGCCTGAAAGTAATTAGTTATTTTACTTCTCAGCGAGCGCACTAAATGACGAAATTAAGCAACTTACTCTTTTTAGGTTAGTGTAGGATAGGGTCTTAGATTAGTTTTTGGGTGAAGGAAATACTCAGAAACTTGGATGAGATAGCAAAACTGAGTTCGGAGCTTCCAAATCATTGATTCGATCAGAAAATGAATTATCTGCATCCAAAAAAGTTCATATACTTCGAAACTTACCTGCAGGATTTTTCAATCCCGTCGAAAGGCCATCTAAAAAAGCCTGCCTTGAGGACCTCACAGATCTGTCTACCCAAACCTTTCCCTGCGTATGCCCCGCGTTCACCCATGTTTCGTCTAAATAATAAATTTTTCTTCCTTCAGCGCGGAATTGCCTAATTTTTCTAAGGTATTCTCTCCTCCAGATAAGAATTTCCTCCTTTTCTATCAATAAACTATTCCTTCCTCTTTTCAAAAATCGAAAGTCTAGTTCTTTCAACAGCTTATGGAACGTAGATCTTTTAAAATTTGGCAGGTCCTCATCATCATTCACTTGCTTCAATATTTTATCTATTGTAGGTATTTCATTCCTGAAGAAAAAGTGATGTACTTTTCTTCTAATGGCACTTTTGTCAAAGTCGATGATTCTTTTTCTCGCTGGATATGTTTTTGGCTCAGATAGTGAGTGATTTTGTCTATATTCCTTCAAGATTTTGTAAACACTTGATCGACCTACTCCAGAAATTTCAGCAACCTTACATACGATATTTTCTATAGCCAATCCACTATTCTCTTGCATCTGGTTCTTGTAGATATTTAGAATAATTTGTTTTTCACCTGCGCTAAGATGAAGCTTTTTAGCCTTTTTTCTGGGTGGCGTTAAGCTGATTTCAACCACTTCATCAGCTGTATCTGTGTCAGACATTTTAGACTAATATTAAATTTCCGCAAGAAAAATCAAGTCAAGACGTGCATAAAACGTTCGCGCTCATAAACGGGTATCCGTAACTGATCACAATCCTGTGCGTGGTGACGAACCATCAACGTGATGCTGAGAGTTCCCTCTAATATGCAGCGTTGCCAGGCTTAATGTCACAATGATCATGTTTTATTGGGAAAATTGTCAGAAATCGCCGAATGTTGAACAGAAACATTACAAGAAGTCTAACCTTGAAATGTGAGGCTACAAATCGATATTCTTATAGGGGGGAAGGGTAGGGAGCTGTTATGGTTCCTATTAACGTTGGTGAAAGTTGGAAACGGTAATATCATATATGGCATACATTCGGTTGAAGGTGTGTGCACGGAAAATAGATTGCGGATAGGATTTTAGTAGATAAATCTGCACAAAAAACACAAAAGGAGATTTTTGTATTTCCCTGAAGAATATCTCAAGGTTATTTCAGATGTACTCATCGAAACTTAATGGAAGGATTATCGAAACCTTATTTTCAATTGCGATAGGGCCACATACCTCGACATCGCATTAATGTGAAAAATAAGACAATAGAAAAAAATTCCCTCACTGATGCTATCTCTTAGGAAAAATTTAACTATAAAGATTGCACAAAAATTTTCTTCACCTTTTTGAGCTTGTTTTCGCATCTCCGTATATGCCGTTCATAATTTGCTGCAGATCAAATTGGAATATACCTTTGTGATGCCATTTATTGTTATATAATGTCCTTTACAACAGTTATTGCACGTATTGCACCAACAGATTGATTTGTGATCCATGCGAATGTGATCAACCACTCTGGCGAAAACTCGCCGAGCGTGGCAACCGTGCGACTTTCTCTGGAGGCTCGTCGCTACAAGCCAATCAGGAAGAGGCCGACAGAGCGCCATGGCTACCGATCACGCGTTGATCACGAATCAACCACTGTTTATGATTACTTTGTAGCTTCGTTAGATACACTTCAAGTATATTACGCTCCGCGTCATGGCCAACTGAGATGGTGAAAGGCGTATGGGGGAAGATGAACATCAATATTCATAAACCTCGGAAGCTTTTAGTTTTGTTCCAATTTGTGTATACATTGGAGGACATTTAAAATCTCTTGAAGCATTTCATAAGAAACATCCATCTTTATCATAGATTTGATAGAAGATGAACATGAAACAGTTAACGATTTATAGTCTTTACTTCTGTAAATTTTTTGCTGACTACGAAAAACTTATTTCATAACACTCCTGTATTTTGTAGCGAAAGATTTTCACTTTATCTTATAATGAACACGCAACAACAAAAGCAGTTAAAACACAGAAAGTTACTTACTTTGCAGACAGTCAGCGTTGAGGAGATCCTTGCACTTCTCGTGGCATTTGACAGCACACTCCGTACACCTGACCCCTTGCCTCGCTATTCCCCACAGAAGCCCTTCGCACTCGTAGCAGTAGGTCGGAGAGGTCGCAGTCCATGGGACGAAGTTATGGGGAGTTGTGCTGCTTATGGGGTAGATGAGAGCTTGCAAGGTCTTCTTGTAAACGTGCATTTTCTAACGGAAAAAGCATGTTATGAAATATTGGTAGAAGTACTTGTAGCTACGGTCGTGTGACACAATCCGACATGGTTTTGGATGCATTCAGGATGTTTAACTTCATTTGGTATCGACTAGAAATTGACACTAAATGCTGCAAAATTGTCGTCTTCTGAATGCGCCGATTGTGTCACATGACATTAACGTTTTTAACTTAGTAACGGGATATCGTATATTCAGTGGCAAAGTAAATAGAACACCAAGTAGAAATGATTTTATTTGAACAAACTTTTATATACAGTTAGACAAGGAGTAGAGGAAGTCATGACTACATTTTGTAGTGTAAACATTTGCTGTATTTATGTCTTCTTTCCAAGCAGCTGTACTTGGTTCCAAAAAGCTGGGGAAGACAAGGTGGAGAAGTCACTTTTCATCACATCACATCCCCACATGCTCGAAGGTCAAAAGGTCTCAGGATCAAGGAGGTCAAGCAAAGGGGCTGACTTGAGGATCATTAAGGTATTTAGCAATATGAGAACGGGCCTAATCTTGTTGGAAAACTTCAAGCATTTGAAGAAATGGCAGAAGATGGGAAGAACCGTAACTCCAACAGTATGATGCACGTAACGTTCCACTGAAAAATTTCAAAACAGCACAGAGATCAGAACTAAAAACAATGTTATACCTTTCATTTTCTCAGCCTAGGTCCTGTTTAGGAATGCATTTAGTTTCAGATGAACGTCATGTGCACCGTACATTAGGAGTTATGGTTTTTGGCGCCATTTCATATGGTGCTAAGTCACCTTTAGTATTCGAGTGAGGATGTACCACGGGGCAACGCAACGGTGTAACCACGAAATACTGAAACCCCATCTCTCGTTTATCTAAACGCTTGAGAACTCTATTTTCCAAGCAGATAACGATATACGTATATTGTTAGTGCTACAGCAAACTACCTCGCTGATGCTTAAATCAACCTAGTTCCTCTAGAGCTTTTACTCACTGGACAGATGTGAGACATGATCAAAAGTAGAGGGAGCTCTTTACCTCATCCTTCACTAAGCTAGCAGCTCTTCGGAACCAAATACAGTTATCTTGGAACGACATACCCCACAAAGATATAAATCACTTTTAAGTAGCATGTCCCAACGACTTTACGAATGTACTAGTAGCGAAATCTAGTGATACCACAACTGTTTTATCTGAAAAAGTTAATCACGAATTTCTCGTGCTTACGTCGAAGACTATAAAATTTTTTTCAGAAGAGTAATATCTCCCGGATGTCCTTCTTTATTTGCCACCGAGTATAACTCATCATTATCAAAAAATATTTTTGAGGCAAATCAAGCACTTAAAGATGTCAATGTTGTAGATTTTGCTGACTTCATAGTTGATTGTTAGGTAGTTAGCTATCATATATGTAGTTGTTGAAGTGAAAAATGAAAATACTGCCTACTTACCACAATTCAACTTCTTAACTGCACCACATTGCGCCATTTGCAGTCAGCACTCGGCAGTAGAGGCTTAATTCTCATACATGCCGCACAAAACTCCCTCGCATAATTATATAGATCATAATCTTAGTTCCCGAAGGCTTTTCTTTGTATGATGTTATGGAAGAGTGTACAGACCTACTTATATGAGTATGCGTGATTTTACTACCGGTGTCAAAGTTTTAGTAAAAGTAAGTCCAATCATAGCTCAAGGTGTGCCTTGAACGTGATATTTCTGAAGATATTAGGTACGTATCCATAGACAACAGCGTCATACAGAACAAGTACAGATTATCTGAGTACTAGTGTGCTTATTCAGCTGCAAAAGCATATTGGAATAACTTAAGTGTCTACATGGAAATGTACATTCGTGTTTTTCATAAGGTAACAACTGCATCCAGTACTAGTCTGAAAAGAGGGTGCAAAGTTCCTCAGACACCATCACCGAAAGTATTTAGGTTCCGTTGTGGATAACACCAGTCTGACCTGCATCAACGAAAATTGGTGCGACTCTACGTCCGTAGCTCCATCATAACTCATTCATTTCTTAAGATTTAAATAAAAAATGGGATACGCACAACTCGTGTTTCCAGAGAAATTAGCAGTTCCAAGCTTATTTGTTTTTTGAGAGATATTTTGAAATACGATAGAGGAGGGGTCATCGCAGGAATTTCCCATTTTTTCTCAAACTATTCAATTTTCTGTTAAAAGTTGACAATTGTCTTCTTTACAATCGGTTAAGTATTCTCCACATTTTTTGGGATAGTTTGAAAGATGGTCCTCTTCACTAATCTCTTCTTGAACACATTTCTAAATTTTTTATTTGTACCTCAAAAAATAAATGGTGTATGTTGACATAACAATAGATGGGGGTACCCTAAACCCTTAACATATGACATTTCGTGACTCCTGCGATCCAGAACAAATATGTTTTTTATTTTTATTCCCTATTTTTCACAGATAATATTCTCACGTCTGCAGCAGTGTAGAAGATGACGGTGAATCCTCATATTTTTTATTGTGTTCATGGTCGAATCGCAAGGATAGGTCTCGCTTTCAAGGAAACTGAATATATAATTTTGCCATACAAAGAGGGTAAAAGTCCAGTTCTTTATGTATCTTCGGAGCTTCCCCACCTTGGAACTTTTATTTTAGCGTTGATATCTCACGCATTATTTACAAAACGCTCTGGGTCATAATAGGGATTTTTGTTTCGAAATGCACAAGTGGCACAGAGGAACAGTTTTCTGTCAGGTATTTGGTTTTCAAGGCCTGGTAGGAAATGCGTATTTTTGTGAGGGTATTCTTATAAGCACGAGGCTGTTGAAGTAATGCAGCGTAGAGTTAATGTAAGCGTTAAGGTAACCTAGTTCTCAAGATACTACCGATTCTTCCGGAATGTATTCAGATAGCTACTTTATTTGATGCTTCTATCCCGAGCCGCGTAGGCTTGTCTATCTCATACAAAAACCATTTGTATGTCCGTCCAGGTAGACAAAGTAATGTACAGTCTCCAATATTGCAAATTAAGAAACTAGTTAACAAGCTTATGTATTTGAATTAAACGGCGACAACTTCAAGCAATATTTACGAGCATCATCTAACAAAACGGTTCTCGAAATGTCCAATTCTCACTGAACTTTCCAGAAACTTCACTTGTTACGTTTTCGCTGCTGCTTATTTTTCAAAAACGGTAACTGGGAACATCGTTCTTTAGGAGTTTATCAATTAATTAACTGATAAGTCGGACCGAAGCTTCCCAATACAATAACCACAAACATTGGAAATATATTTTTATTTCTCAGATAAAAGTCGTTAGAAAATTATGTAAGCAAGTCCTTTGATTGGAGCGCTGATCAAAACAAAAGCAAGTTGCAGAGGGTAAGTAGGTTCCCACATATAAGCCCACGTACTTCTTATTTTCATTCAAAATTACTACAAATTGACCATGTTGACACCATGACAAGCTAACCACAGATTCGTGCTGTTTTGTCTTAACACATTTGGAGAGGACCATTGTTTTGTGCGTAAATGCTGTACCCTTTGCACCGATGCTATGCACTATACTGTAAGCGCTTGGCTGCCTACCGTGTAAAGATGGCCTATGTATCAAGAGATGACACAACACTAGACCGCATACACCGTGCGCTATACTAAAGTTTGGCTGTAAGCGCTAGTATAGCGAACAGCACACGACGTGAATGGGCTTGCATTGCGCCATCATCGGAAACAGACCTGTATTAAAGCATGGAAAAGTATAATGCTCCGATTAGGAAGAGACGATGTTCACATGGCCATTGAAAGCAGAAGAGAAACTCACTTCTTAAAAACAGTTCTATTAAGTTCATGTTTCATGTGGTCACTTAGTCGCTATACAATAACGCTGAAATGGAAGGTGTGCAATTGCAAAATAAAGTTTCGTAGAAAAAACTCAATAAGCTATGATCGAAGCTTGAAGCCTAAACTACTATACGCAGTGAGTCCACTTTTCCAAAGCAGAATATTCCTTACGTTTTCTTACTTGAGCTCGTCCCGGCATCAGTCTCGTCATCATCATCTGCCTGTTCTAACATCTTTTTAGCTGCTAGCATAGCTTGGAACTCCTTATAATGCTCCTTTCTTCTTTTTATAAACTGTTTCCTCCTTTCTCTCTCTTCTTCTGTTAAGTCATCATCACTACTATCATCTCCTTCTTCATCAGCTTCAGTCAAAGCTTTGGGCAAAACTTTTGCTGCGTCTTCCATCTTTTCTGCCAATTGTGATGGATCTAAATGGGTTTCTTCTTCAGACTCGCGGTTATAAGGTGTCTTAGGCTCATTTACCTTCATGTGACCATAATCTTTATTAGGAGGATGAAGTGTGCTCAGAATGTTCATTTCGTCGAATTTGGCCGACTTTGGACTCGTTCTTTCCGATTTGTGTTTTTTTAAAAGGCCTTTCTTAGGCTTCTTCTCTTGGCCTGAATTTTTGTCTTCATCCATAGTCCTAAATTTATGGATTTTCATTTTTCATGTCAGCTAGGCAGTGACAGGGATCACATTCTAGGTCAACTCTGGGTGTTGCAAATCAACGTGTGAAGCCGCTATACTACTGATTACTACTGGCTTACTACTAACTTGTAAAGATGGCTTCCAATGTGGAGTTTTTCTGTTTCCGGTTATGCAATACAGCAGTGTCCGGTTTGCGGTGAACTTGCGATTTTTATTACAGCAGGTTAAAAAAAGAAGTAGGTAGCATAATTTCTGGAGCAGGATGTATGTCCAAGAATAACACAGGAAGCTCTTATGATGTCCTAAAATATCCCTTCACCGAGGTAGAGTATGTTGACGTTGAATTTATAATCTGGAATGCTACAAAAAAAAATGCCGTATATGTAGTACGAAATAGCATAGTCCTGGTACCCGTTCAGTACACACTTCAAAGGAGAATTACTATCTGCCTCGCTATCAACTGGCGTGTCCACGCATGGAAATCAAACGCTAGAGCGTTACGCTCTGGGAGACCGCAGCTTTAGAGTGGCGAGCACCAACCAGAATTCAAAACTACTGAAGATACATGGAATTGACGATGATATGCTTAATACCAAGGCTACTCAGTTTTACGACATTTGTGCAAGGAACCAGTTCCACCATATAGGACAAGGGGTATTGAGTAACAGCTTGTTTGGCAGGTCTTTAGAAGTCCTTTTTTTGACGTTTGATTTTTCAAAATCGATCAATTCGTGTTCAAGAAAATTAGAAAAACCTTTATCTATAGTAATTTGTTCAGATAGAAAACAAAAACACACGAAAATATCACTTTTTATTTCAATAAGTGTTCAAAATGTTACCCGTTATTGGCCAAACAATGGTATAAGTGATGTTCAAATTCCTGACGGACATTTTCAAAAACATTTTGTGGGATATCCTGGCAGCTTTCGATGATGCCTTGAAAAAGTTCATCCAAACTTTCAGGTTGGGGAGTAAACACAATAGATTGCAGGTGGCCCAATAGAATAAAGTCTGATAGCGTCAAATCAGGATATCTAGCATGCCATTCTATAGGCCCTCTCCGCTCTATCCACTTATCTGGAAACTCGTCGTCTAGCCATTGCCAAACCGGAAGAACATAGTTAGGAGGAGCTTGGAAATATATTTCAACCTCATCAAGTATAGGGTTTGCATCTTCTTCGATTTGGATTTTAATGGTTTCAGTGATAAGTGGATTGATCGTATTTTCCAACATATCCAAATAAATGTCTCCATTAAAATTTTCATTAATAAACAATGGCCCAAGCACTCTGTTTCCTAAAATGCCTGCCAATACATCAATTTTTTTTGGGTACTCGGTATGCCCTTCTACAAATACAGATAAATAAAGATTTTTCTAATTTTGAATGACCCTGGCGCGCCAAGTGTGAAAGGGGGTTAAGTAGTTTTTGGTTAAAAAGTGGTCCCACTTGACAAATCTTTTGACATGTTTTCGATAAATCCGTGGTGGGAAGTCTTCAAATGAACACTCTGTATGTATTAAAGTAAATCCTCAACACGTAGACACTCCCGAAACTTCGAGGCACTTTAAAAGAGAGTTTCCTTCGAAAGTAGCTCAAGTACTTCTTAGCGCATTGTTTCAACATTTAAACTCTCCAGCGTGAGTGCAGGGTTCAAGTTGCTAAAAGCAGGAGGCGCATTGACCTAATAACGATGTTGGAGCATCGACGACATCATTCAAGTTTTAAACTTCGACACTGCTCTAGAGCTGAGGCATTCTAGTCATAGTATGGAGTGGAACGTTTTTAATCGTAACACTACAGAGCGCTTTTCCTTTATACCTTCACCACATTCATTCTTTGATCGAGTCTAGTTAGCAACCCGAAATTCGAGTTGATGAAATTCTTGCAAGAATACAAGGGTTGCTGGAATTCGTCTTATTCCTTATTCTATCTCACTATATTTTAGCCTACTGGGTGTTTTAAAATTCGTCTCTCACTATTGGGACCTCGGAAACGGTAAGTTATACGAACTTGGTTAAATGCGGGCAAAACTGCGCATTTAGGTAACTGGGAAATGGAACTAATTTTTTCTAAAATCGTTTTTCTTTTTTCTGACTTCGTTTCAGACTGGATTTCAAAATAGAAAGTACATTTAGATTACTATTTTTCCTCAGAGGAAAGACAAGTAATCCTACGGAAACTTAGATGAAAAACAACGAACAATCGTAAGTATGTCCGCAGTAAAGGAATAGAAGCAAAAATAGAAGGTTTGGTAACCCGAGCGACGTAGTATCTGCGTATTTTATTGGCTTCATCAGACACAAATGAATGTGCATCGAAAACACCGAACTGAAAACATATGCCCATCACATCTGGATCAGGATGTAATCTGAAAGAAAACACGGATGGAAAGAGAAATGAAACTGAAAGCCACCAACAAGAGTCAAAGGACCTCGTGCTTACGAGCTACGTATAGCTACGTGCCGTGGTAGCCACAAATGTGCCTGCTGCCTGTACAAGAGGACGTAATTAGAATTTCAATATGACGTTTCATATCTTGGGCATGACTACTTCATCTTTTAAAGACGCCACATTGGATTTTTGCACAGGTGAATAGAGTTATAATTTTTATTTCAAATAGAGTATCTCAGACATTGATTTTGACAAACCTAAGTTATTTCAAAAAAACTAATATACTTCTAGTTCTTCTAGTTTTTGAAGGTCGGAGCTTCATAAAAAAGATAATCGTTAACATTTCTTATAACGTATACGCAGTTCTTATAAAGAGTTTTTATCAACATTCCTCGTGATGTACTTCTCTTAAGTCTCACATCTTTTCAGTTATTAATTGAGGAACTTCGATTAACATTCGCGATCGCGTCGAATATCGCGGGCTGTTAATCTGATTACCAAGGATTAATATATCTGAAGTAAAAACAAATTAGTTTACACTTTTCCGAATCTATACACCTCGGGTGGTAAGGAGACAAGTTGGAACATTCGCACTCATGTTAAAATTTTCACGGAATCCCTTGCAAACTTAAGCTAAAAAATATTCAATAATATGTCTTTAAGACAACCGAACAGTCGTGTTGCGAAAAATATACTTCATCCAAATGCTTTTTCCAACAGTATACAAGACGTTCTTCTCATATGAATAAATCAAACTCCGTATATGTGCGGTAAGTCAACAGTGCGGAAACAATGCATATTACCGTTGTTACCAGACGGCTTTTGGTTGAAATATCTTTCTAATTTACATCATAATTACGTCAATTTTACATTTTTTAAACCTACCGTATCGTATCTTGCCCGTCCGGCATTGCCATTCCGTATTTCCCCTGTAAAGAGCCTCACTCCGAGAATATTTTTATCCAAATCCGCAGTGATGTAAAGTTGAGAGTCGTTGAAGCTTGGATTATATTAGCCAGGTAAGCGAAGAAAAAAATTTCCAAATTAATTTGAAAGGTTGCCAACAAGTCTGAAATTTACATTTTTGCTTTGGGCGGATCTCCTGACCGAACTGTTTGATCTAGGACTCCGAGACTTTACAATTCATGAGCTCGCTCTGATGCCTGACTCGCCCTCAACTATCATATGAAAATGGCCAATTTTGGTGCAGAATATCCAAAAATTGGATCCAAACCGTATTCGACCGGTCAAAAGGCCCAAGTTGAAAGTTAACTTATACAGGGTGACTTCGAAGTTGAGTCATTTATTTTAACAGTGAGTAGATCTGATCAAAAGAAATGTTTTTTTCCTTTAACATTTTTCTGGTAAAATTAAAGTAACAAACTTATAGCCCTTTAGAAGTTTGAGTACCGCCCTGTCTCAATAATAATATTATGTGCTCGTGTTTGGCAACAACGGATATAATCCGCCTTATCCGTTCATCGCATCGGAAACAAAAAACCGAAAGAATTTGAAATGATGTTTTTACTACAATGTACAATTTTATTCAGTTGTATTCACTTGATGTGTCAGTCGGTAACGCGTGAGTGAATAGTGGTGTTTGTTGCGTGGCTCAAACGAAATAAAAAATAGCACATGTTTACGAAAATGCTGAACTTGTGGACATGCTTCTTATTTACGGGGGGGGAGTCTTTACAAAATGCTGCCGCGGCATCACGGATTTATGCGGATCGGTTTCCCAATCGAGTGCAACCAACCCCTCGTGCCTTTGTTAATATAGTACAAAGGGCTCGCGAATCAGGTGACTTAAGACCTCACAGGGGAGGGCATGCTGGTGCTCCAAGACCGCACGATCAAATACAGGTCCGCACTGAAATACTTGTCGGGAGGATACTTTATAAAATAAGGTAACTTTTTTTTTAATTTTTGTTTATTTTTACACACATATTTTGGTTTATCTTCCTTCTACAATCATTATCTGAAAATTAATGACTCAACTTCAAAGTCACCCTGTATAGGAGAATACGTTGTTCCTTCATACATTATGAGACGTAATGTTTTTCAGCGACAGAGGAGTCGCCGATACGGGAAATACTCGTATCACATTTTTTTCTGAATCTTCAAGCTTTGAGCGCATCTCAGACCGAAACGTTATACTTATAATGCTGAAATTTCGCAAACCTTCAAGTCTCCATAGATATTCTCCAGAGGTCGTGGGATCTTAGTTTTGATACCAGTACAGACACCGTACACCAGGAATTATCGAATCACCTCAAGGCGATTCTGAAAAAGGCTACGAGAAAATTGGCCCTCTACAGGGAAAGCCAAATTTGTCTGAGTGCTTGAGATCAATGCGTACGATAGAGAAGAGCGAGAAGTGTGTATGTTAGAAAGAGATGCATTGCCTAGCAACGGTGACGCAGAAGGTCGTGCAATTTGCTGCGTTGCCAATATGTTAACCAGAAAATGTTTGCACAGGCTGCTACAATAGGTTAGGTCTGTTCGAACATTTAATTTATTATTTTGCTTTAATTTTAATCAGAGTTATTTATTTCAATATTGATGTCATTTAGTGTTTCAGTTTATTGTGCGATTATCTTTGATTTCCACTGATGGTGATAAAACCAACTCTTCAGCAAATAAACAAAT